GACTGCAGGAAATGTTGTTGTACTCCTGGTGTTCCACTCCACCAGGAGGCGCATGGAATGTGGTGCAGAGCTAGAATGATCATTACTGACGGTGCTGCAACATGATTGCTTGGTTTTAACACACTCATGTTGCGATTAGGCGCTAACTGATGATCCGGTTAAGGAGAAGGGGTTGCATTGGTGAGTGTCCAGTCATTGTGATCTGATCCACACGCGGCGTTTGGATTTGCTGACGAGGAGATTCATTGAACAGGACAGCACGGCGTACCGCACAGCCTGTAGCTTTTCTCACGGGAAAGCGTAGTCAGGCGACGGGGCGACACGCGACAGGCGACGAGAGGTGGTGCGCGCGGCCACTGTGCGCGGAGAGCCGGAGCGGGAGAGGCTAAAACGCACGCACGGCGGCATTTTCCGAAGCCCGAAATAGTAAAGCACCAGCTAGCTGTACATGGTGCCTGTGCGTGCAATCGTGGGCCATGAAGAGTCGATCGAAAGAGATGTAAAGAGGCATGGATGATGGATCATCATCCAGCCGATCGAGCAGCACAAAGCATCTGTTCTCGGCAGCTCGATCGGCTCCATCAGGCACATGTGCACGCACTGTCGCTCGCAGGCACGTCAGTTTGACACCGAAACGAAGCATGAGTACGCGACAGCGCAAAGCGGAAAACTTGAGGCCGGGGAAGGCGGTGGCATCGCTTGGTGGTGAAAAAAAGCTAGCTGGCGAGCTAGCTAGGGCCGGGGTTTGGAGCGAGCGACGCTGGCCTCTGGATTTCCCTTTTGCTCGCCATTGGTCGCCGGGTGCCGGGGCTTTTACTCTCTCCTTGGCGTGCATGCGGTCGGCATGCGGCGGATATCTGATATGATCGTCGGGCGGTGGTAGTGGGAGACAGGGGGGCGAGGAGAGTACTGCACGGCTCCAGCGACAATACTGCTGCTGTGTGCACTACCGGCGTTGTCAGCGTGGAATTGAAAACCAATCGAGTGAATTGGCCGTGGCATGCATGCCCGTCGTGTTGGCAACTCGGCATGGAGACTTGGAGTCTAGCACTCTCCTCAATTGAAGACTCCAACACGACGACCATGCATTGCCTCGAACCCGCGCCATTGCGTCCTCTCGCGACCTGCCCGCAGGCGCCGTTGCCAAAGCCTCCGATCCGGTCGGAGTGGGCCAGTGAGGGGAAGAGAGGCTGGCCATGGCCGGGCGTCGTCCCAAACCGCGGCGATCGCCTCTTGGTGCGCGAATGCACGGCGAGCGAGGATGCGGGTGTAGTGCGTCGTCTGCTTTGGTCAGGTTGGGAGTTGGGACGTTGGGTTGCCGGCGGTGGTCGACTGGTGGTAAAGTTGAGTGCACGCACGGCAGCCCAACAATGCAAACTAAGATCCTTCTATGACATTGATCGATTTAGAATTTTTCTAACATTCTACTATGCCACGCTACCTCTAATTTTCAGTGAAGTTAGAAGTCAAGGCCTTTAAATCACCATCTGATGGCACCAACTGTGACTGCTTTACCTTTCGCGCGCACATCATCAATCATGCATTCACTTCAGCGTGGAAAGCTGCCAACATGGGCGGGTAAGATCGATCAGATCGCCGCTCTACAGTTGCCGCAGTCCGTCGGCTGGCGTGATCGAACAGGGCGAGAGCGCAAGATTCCGCGATCATGAAACGACGACGAGGCACCAGCACCAGCCCGGCCTAGCTAGCTTGCCTGTGCAAGCGTCAGGGTCAGCACTAGCTGGTACTGGTTCATTCGTCGCATTGCAGTTTGCTGTGTGTGTACGCACGCGTGGCGACCGGCCGGGCGACGTGACGGCGGGTCGAGTCTAGTGAGTCCGTGCCGGACGGCCAGCTGGAGCGTAGCGTAGCTAGCCCGGGTGAGGCAGCTAGAGCTAGCTGCTTTATTAGTCTACGACTCTACGTGATCGTGAAGCTTCGATCGATCAATCGGACTGGGATCGCCGGGCGGGCGGGGGTGATTTGATGCGAGCCACGAGATTTATCACCGGTTTGGCGATCGAACGGGGCCAATGGGATCATCATCATCGTCATCATGCAGGTTTGAAAGCCAGTGAGTGCGGGCGCGTGCACGACTCTCACTCTGCAGCGCCGGATTGCCGGCGATCAATTGGAATGTGCTAGTCGGACACTGTTCTCTGCCGTGATCATGGCGGTGGGCAGTGGACTTTGTGGTGGTCAAGTTGTCTCAAGTTCAGTGGCCACGCCAGCCACAAAAGGAGCGGATATAGGCTGATTGTGAAATCGAATTCTTCACTTTGTACACCTGGCAACCAACACATGAGATCGGAACTTTTTTTTCTTTTTTGAATAAGGTCTGCAGATATATATATAATGATGAACCAAACCAAACAAATGCGTCGTATAAGTGTATAACGCCGTAGGTACTACACTACTTTTACTGTGCCGAATCTGATTTCTATATACGGTGGACTGGACTCCGTTGCTAGATTTTCACGGGCCCGGCTACCTATCTGGCGTGGCCCAACTATTGAAAGAAAAACTTTAGCCCAATCCAAATGTAATCAGCGACCCAACGCCAGTACGACAGCGAGAAACGCGAAGTGGGCCTGAGCTAATCTTAAACTCGGGTGCCCAACGGGCCAAACCCAAACGGTCCTGTATTATAAGGGAAATCCTGTGCTGCTGACAAATGCAAAAAGGATCATCATCCATTACGAGTACGGAGATTCCAAGCTATAGCCAGTCTGTGTTATATACTCTTGTCAGGAAGCATTTTTTTTAAAAATAAAGGTCGGCAGGAGATCCGTGGAACATTTTTTAAAAAAGTGTGGAACATGTATATTGATACACTAGGTAAACGCCCGTGCGTTACGACGGGAAAAAATACCATTATCTTTTTTACTGTCTTCGGGAAAAAAAACCATTTTCTTTTTTTTTGTTGTCTCTGTGTGATCAACTATTCTTATTTCCTTTGGGCTTCAATTTATTATGTTCTATCCATAAATCATCTGTCAACAAGAGGTTTGATCACGAAAACCAAATTTCAGTACAAGAACGCTCAACTCGTCAAGAATTCTCTATTGTGAAATAAGGCCAACAACGCTCTTGCACAAAATCTCGCAAAATAAGCATCTTAACACAAAGCTTCATAGAGTCCTTATGTATTTATCCCATGCGAAGCTTCAGAGTCTATATGTACTTTGTTGATCAGTTCATTACTATAGGTGCCAGCAAGCAATACTAAGCTATCACACTTTCAAGTCACATGCACTGCATGATAAAATAAGTAACAAAAACAAAACAGATGGTAAAAGCATCCTCCCATTGCAGGCCTTATACTAGGACAAAAACACATGCTCCTATCTCATCTCATACAAATGCTTCACATGGAGTGATGGGAGTAGAGCGCACAAGGGAAAAGCTAGTAAGGGCGATATCGCCAACTGTGCCCTTCGCCACCTCTGCCACTATCTCTTCGGTCGACACCCCTCCACAGTGGAGGCAGAGATGGCATTCCACCAGGCTGTTGCCTGTCAACAGCAAACCATGCTGTCACAAAGTGCAGATATGTGCTCAACATACATTGAGCTTCGATGATATTGTAGAGAAATGGTCTTACAGGGCATAGTCAAGGTGACCATCGTGAAGCACCATTGGCATCATCCTCATTCTTGCCGGTGCTGGTCATCTGCCATATATCATTGGCTGCCAAAAAATATTACACTAATAAAGAAAAATAATGCATTGCAGTCACAGATATGTGATTTGTGATTGTCTGAAAGGTTAGGTTGGATCACCTGGTTGTAAGCAGGACTGCTGCCAGCCTGCCACCGTATATAAGCACCATATGGATCTCCCATGTAGCCGCCACCATAGGGAGGAAGAGGACATAGTTATGTTAATAAATGACCATAGTTTTTAAGGCGTCCGAGCGGATTTTCAAGCGCGGCGTCGCTGTCGCCGCATCCTCCTGGCGTATGGCGTCGCCCTGCGGTCGAAGGCGTCACCTAGTCGTCCTTCTCGCTGAGGCGAACGCCGCGGACGTAAAAGGCCCGGGGAAAGAGCGGCGCCGTGCGCTCGAGCGGGCGGGAAAAGAGCGGCGCGATGCCCTCGCGCGGGAAAAGCAGCAGCGCCGCGCCTACACCTCCCGCGAAAGGCTCCCAATCCCCATCGCGTCTGAGAGAGCGAGAGAGGAGAGGGAAAGGAAGGACCGAAGGAGAGAGGAAGAGAGGAGAGGGCGGCGACGCACCTCAAATCCGGCGGCGGCGGCGGCGCAGGCGATTGCCCTACACGAGGCCGCCCGTCTGCGCGACTCTGCTCCGCTGCTGAGGCCACCCGTCCCGTCTGCGTGACTCTGCTCCGCTGCTGAGGCTGCCCGTCCCAGCCGTGCAAGTCCGTCCTAGCTGAGCGAGGCCGCCCGTCCGCGCGACTCTGCTCCGCTGCTAAGGCCGCACGTCCGCGCAAGTCCGACTCCGGCGCCATCCGCTTCTGCTCTGCTTTGCTCCGCGACTCTGTTCTACTCTGCTCTACTCCACGACTTTTTTAACAGGTAAAATACCACTGGCTTGCTATACAATGTCTCAATCTCTCTTGTTGCTGCCTCTGAGTTAGCAGCTTCTAGGGTCCAAATCTCCTGCAATGCATGTAGGCAATTGGCAACTACCTGCAAGTCACCGATATAATCAGCTTATCTCAGAAAAGCACAGTATTCAACAAGATAGCATCCAATCATTCATCAGTTGAACCAAAGCACAAACTGCAATCGTTCAGAATAATAAAATACTAGAATGGCATTGCCAACTTGCTTTATTTTTTGATCTGTTGTCTGCACCGATATAATCAGCTTATCTCAGAAATACTAGAAACTGCAATCGTTCAGAATAATAAAGCACAAACTGCAATCATCAGTTGAACCAAACCAAAGCACAGTTTTTGATCTGTTGTCTGCTAGTTTTTTTTTTGAGACTTGCCATTGCCAACTTGCTAATTCATGTATTTTTTTTTCTAATGCTAGAATGGCAAGCATAAGTCCACCTTCTGTCAACAATGAGAACTATGATCCTAAGGTAGACAAAGCAAGAAAGGCCACCTCAAATGATCCATGCTAGAAGTATGGATATTGGGCAAACCTTCAGAAGCCAGATAAGGTGACATGTACTCTTTGTGACACTGAGGTTTCTGGAGGGATAAAATGGTTGAAGCAGCATCTGGCAGGTGGATATGGAGATGCAAAAATGTGTCCTAAGACCACCACTGTCATTAGGAAGGAGATGAGAGATTACTTGGAATCCAATAAGAGGAGGAGGCCATTGTTCAACGAAGAGGGTGATGAGCCACCCGAGGAACCAGCAGATGTGGTGGTGGTAGATGCAGTAGCAGCCCTGCTAGAGCTGAATCTGTTCAAGCTGAAGACACTACACCTGCAGAATCCCAAGCTTCCAAGGTGCAGCCAAGTTCAAGGACTGCAGCTAAACAAAGGCGTGCAAATTATTTATTCAAGGCTACTGCAGCAAGCAATACAAAGGCAAAGCTGAAGGTTAACAAGTCAATTGTTGAGATGCTTCGGAAAACACCTGAAGAACTTGTTGATGAAAGGCATAAAGGATGTTCTCAGCCAACAATTCCAGCCAGGATAAGGACCAAAGAGGAGAAGCACTATGTGGATCAGCAGTGGGCCTTGTGGTTCTATGAGTGTGGTGTGCCATTTAATGCAGCAGCAAGATAGTTTGAGATTGCAGTTGAGGCAACTGCACAATTTGGTTCAGGTTACAAGCCTCCTACTCCCTATATGTTAGGTGAACCATTGCTTAAGGATGCTGTGAAATTGACCAATTCTATGAGGGAGGAACATGAGCAGGCCTGGAAGATGTATGGCTGCACACTTATGTCAGATGGCTGGACTGATAAGAGAGGCCGTCATTTGATCAACTTCCCTGTGAACAGCCCTGCAGGGACTTATTTCTTGGAGTCTGTTGATGCATCAAGTGAGGTACATGATGCATTTATGCTTGCTGATTTATTGGAAGCAAAGATTGAGGAGATTGGGAAAGACAAGATGGTTCAAGTTATCACTGATAATGGGGCTAATTACAAGGCAGCTGGTAGAATTCTAATGGAAAGGATTTCTACGCTGTATTGGAGCCCATGTGCTGCACACTGCTTGGATCTTATGCTGGAAGAGATAGGGAACTTGAAGGAATTTAAGAAGCCCATTGCAAGAGCCAAACGTGTCACAACTTTCACTATAGGCATGGGAGAATTCTTAGTTTGATGAGAGAAAAGACAGGGGCTGATCTTGTGAGACCTGCAGCCACTCGATTTGCCACCTCTTTCCTCACTTTAAAAAGTTTGCACAAGCACATAGATGCTTTGAAGGCTTTATTTGTTAGTGAAGAATGGTTGGGGAACAAATTGGCAAAAACTGCAGCCGGTCAAGAAGTGCACAACATTGTGCTCTCTATGGAATTTTGGAATTCAGTTGAAGATTGCCTTAGAGCTTCAGCACCTCTGCTTATTGTTCTTAGGGTGGTTGATGGTGATGAGAGGCCTGCAATGCCAGAGGTTACAGCACTAATGAACCATGCAAAAGAGAAGATCAAGCTCAGCTTTGCTACTGAAAACAAGAAAACCTTACTCAAGAATATCATTAAGATCACTGAGAAGCGTTGGGTCACACAAATGGACCATCCTTTGTATGGGGCTGTACTGTATTTGAACCCAGGAAGACTGCATTCTCTCATACAAGCTAATGATGATGCAACTGTTGGACAGTTAAGAGGCCGTTTTCTTGATGTGCTTGGAAGAATGGTGGAGGATGAAGAAATTAGAAGCAAGATTGATGCCCAATCCTTGGACTATGAAGGCCTTAGAGGAGATGCATTCTCAAACAAACTGGCCAAGCAAAACCTACAGAATTTGAACCCTCGTACGTGCTGTTTTTCTTATAATTGCAGCAGGTTTTAGTATGGGCAATTAAATTCCAGCAAGTATATTTCATCTCAAAATGCTAATATATGTTTGTATTTGGCAATATAGTTGATTGGTGGCGTTCATATGGTGGTCGTGCTATTGAGCTTCAAAGGTTTGCTAGACGCATTGTTAGTCTTTGTGCTTCATCCTCTGGTTGTGAGAGAAACTGGAGTACATTTGAGTTTGAGTATTGCCAACTTCACTAGTCACTGTTTACTTCTAATTGATTTGTGCTCAGCTAGCCAATTAATGACACATTTATTTGTTGTTTTCCCATTCTTCTTTTGTAGATGCATATAAAGAAAAGAAATAGGTTGTTGCATAAGCGATTAAATGACATTGTGTTTGTTTCCTACAACCGGAAGATGAAGACCAGGTTTCAGTTAAGGCATGAGAAAAAGGGGAAAATTTTTGATCCTTTGGTCATTGAGGAGTTTGATTGGGACAATGAGTGGGCTGACTCCTCCTATGTTCATCCTCAAGGTGCCCGTGGGTATGACAATGGTGACAATGGTAATGGCCTTACATGGGAACTTGTGGATGAAGTTGTTGGTGCATCAAGCTCGCTGCGAGGCCGCAATCTTCCAAGGAATGCCAGCAGCAAGCGTGCAAGAAATGGACAGTCAAGGTTGACTGAACTTGAAGAAGACTTAGGTTTGGCCAATGAAGAAGAGGAAGAGGAAGATCCACATGACGATGCTGATGTGAGTGATTGTGAGCAGGATCCCAATGGCTCCAACGGTGGCGGCGAAAACATGGAGGGTCCAAACATCCTTGATGAGTTTGATGACGGATATTGACCGTTGAGAGTTGGCTGCTAGCAGCATATGGCTAGTAGATTTCAGATCTGCACTAGTTATATTTGTGAACTGCTTGTAATGTGGCTAACTATGCCACTAAGACTCTTATCTATATTTCTGGAATGTTTGTAATGTGGCTAACTATGCCACTAAGACTCTTATCTGAGTTTATGGGTTGATGTAATGATGATATATTGATATTTGCTTGTGTCTTTTGTTGCTAAATTTCCTTGCTGTTGCTAAATTCCTTATTGTATATGCAGCTTGTTTGAGAGAAGAAAAGAGAGTTCAAATCATCAAAAGGTATTTCACTATCCATATTTAATCTGATTACAAAGTATTTCCATTACATAATTATATTAATGAGTCACACATGTTGAAACTTGTTAGGGGTTGTATGGCACATGGAAGAAGACAACTGGAAACAGGAGGATCACTGCTACATGGGCTCCAGAATTGGCAGTAGAAAGATATGTATAAGTGTATGTTTGTGCTGTCCTATGGAAGGTTAGAGTATTTGTATGGCGTCGCCTCGCCGCGCGCCTAACTCGCCTAGGCGTCTGGAAGGGGGTGGAGCGCCGCACCTCGCCTTACCGCCTTAAAAACCATGTAAATGACCCTCAGGATCTAAAATAATAAACTCAAGTCACAATTGTATGTGCAAAGCTGAGAGGTGGCCAAGTAATCAGTATAGGTACCAATAGAAACTGAGGTGACTTTAAAGTGATTCAACTACAAATAATATCTGATTATTTTGGTCAAAAACAAATTCTGATTATGCACCTGCTACGACTCTAAATTTGACAAGATACTGGATGATAACAGGGAGGGAAAGCTACCATCAATTGTATATATTTTTTTGCTTCCTTTGACTGCCTTCAGTGCGCTCGATCTTTGAGCGAAGTGAAAAGCCAAAATCCCTCTTATGCCCAGCATTTTTGGGCCAAACTCAGACTGATTGCGCATGTAATCACTGGGGGTTCTCATGCTGCAACAATAAACAAGGTTTATGGTGATCACACATTTGGAAGAAGCTCACACATTCAAGGGGGGAGAGTAAAGGAAATAAGATTATTCAGTATCAGCTTGAACCTATTTAAGTTGAAGGCAATCACCCCAGATACTCATGGTGCAAATTACCCCGAAATGACATAGACAAAAAAATAAGTTACCATATCATTCATGCTGCACCAGGCTAAGTGCAGTAGTAACTACACAACCAGCTGAAAGCATATCTCATGTGGTTAGATGAAACTGCCAATTATATTTAAAATGCTTAGGTGCAAATTACTCTGTAAATTTGTATGGACTCCACAAAATTACTCTGGCGGTCAAATGATCTCAAGGAAACTCTGACTGCATTACAGAATAACATCACTTGCACTGGATCTTGTATGAGGACTACAATGAACCCTTCATAATTTCATATCTTGAAATTTTTTGTTTGTTAATAATATAGCACATTTAAATTAGAATTATCATGGTATTACTTTTTGACATGACAGAATCCTCAAGTAATAATAAATTTCGAAGGTTATTTCAGGCCTAGTTAACTGACGACAAAAAAGAATACATCTTATAGACAGAGCATGTGACTGCTGAGAACCAAACAAATATGATTACCAGCATGTGCATGTCAAGGAAAATTGTGTGGGATAATCTGATAGAGATGGAAAATCAGTATATCTTTCAAAATGGTCACTCATCTGAGAAAGCAATGCAGGTGGAAAATCAGTATATCTTTCAAAATGGTCACTCATCTGAGAAAGCAATGCAGGTTTCACCCAGACGTATATCAATATACCAATTTGATATTGGGCGCAGTTTGGAAGACATGTATCCTTTCATTCCTATTTTCCTAACTTTAAATTCATAGCGGATAATTAATATATGGTCAGTAAAACTACCCATTGACAAGATTTAAATTAAAAGCCATAATAGTCACTATTACCAGATTGTCAATCAAAGCAAAATAGCATGAAAAAATGTAAATGGCAAAGATATCATAATTAGTAGCCTGCACATACTTTATGATTTTGCATTGATGTAAAAGAAAAAAAGTGTTGATGTTTTTTGTTTCGCACTTCCATATTCCGTTTCTAAAACAACCTACCAAGGTACAGACATGCTTTGTTTATTAGCAGCAGCGACACTGTTTTTGAGAAAAAAAAATCATATCTTCCAATCCATACAACCAAAAACAGAGTTAAAATACTCAACAGGAAGATCATACAAAGTATTATAAAACCTCCATAGCACACTGGACCAATTCGGCCTCGACGAACTCCTAAATTGACACCCAAAACTGATGGTTGAAATTGAATATGTACTCTGAGAGAAACTGGCAGTAATATTCAGAACGCAATATCTCCCATAGTACTCAACGAAAAAATGCGTTTAAATACTCGTTGGAAAGGTAATGGAAAGTTTTAGAGCTTTAGTTACTATGGGAGATTCGACAGCTATCCGGGAGACTTCGATCTGCTACTCAGATTGTCAATCAAAGCAAAATAGTTCTCGATGAAATTACTTACTTCACTCATGAGTTACAATCAACTTTTTGGCTATTCTTTTTAGTAAAACCAGAGTGCTAGTAAAACCTCTTAAAAACATCTATTTTTTAGTATGGACCAGACCTCAAAATTGGAATTCAAGAAAGATTAGTGTTAGAACCCACTCCGGTGGGGAATCAGCTTAGTACTCCATTTGACAATATTTGTCCGCACCACCTAATATACAAAAATATGTAGGTTGGAGACTGAATGCTACAGATTTTACCTTAAAGGCATAATACAGTTCTTAATTTTGATTTGAAAGAATCATGACCCACTGAATTGAACAAGTTAATTATCTAGTAATATACAACAGAGTAGCAAGGTAAGCTTACCAAAACTTTTTTAGGCCCGTTAATTTAGCAGCAGCAGGACCTGCAAATACAAATAGCAGAAGATACACAATCAGCTAAGTAAATCTAGCTAGTTATATCTGAAACTCATGTTGGAGATACCTATGACTGAATAGAACGGGGAAAATTTATATGTGCTCAATCATAAATTAGTAGCACCATTGGTAAGATTACTTAGTTTCAACAAGAGGACAGTGAACAATTGCTTCCTCGCCGCAGTGTTCCGCCTGTGCTTCTCTGAAAATACTCCCAAACCACAACAGTACTGGAGCATTATGAAAATTCATTTGGTAGCTGAATAATCATAAAAACTATCCAATCGTCCTGATTCTCAACCCTAATCCCTTAATTCTAGCAACTGAAAAGGCATAAATAATAGCCTAATCCATTATCGACGCCTATTAACATAGCTGTGAACCATTCTATGTCGTATCAAAGAAACAGCAGCCGTAGCACCGGCTCAACATTCAATCGATCGATTCCACCACGCAATCGGACCAATCAATCCCCAAAGCAACGATCCAGCGGCATGCCCATCCGCTGAGTGAGGTCAGGGGCGGGGGCGGTTTTACCTTGCACTGGCGCCCGTTGCTATGGTCGTTCCACTAGAGGAGGCAGTCCTGGTGCACGAACTTGTTGCTGCCACTGCAGGCGCACAGGTACCGTAGTAGGTGGTCCTCGTCGCCGCGGTTGCGACAGATCCGGCGAGGAGTGCGGCGGCCGGAGGGAGGTGCCCCGGGCGGTGCGGAGTGCGGCGGCCAGAGGGAGGCGCCCGGGCGGCGCGTAGGGAGTCACGATAGGGGAGGGCGGCACGGAGGAAGTCGCAAGAGCCGGCGGTTCTGCCCGCCGTTTCTTTCGTCCGCGAGGAGCCATGTCACCGGCGCGGTAGGCGACGGCCGGAGGGAGGTGCCCGGGCGGCGCGGAGGGCGACGGCCGACGGCACGTAGGGAGTAGCGATGGGTGAGGGCGGCGCGGAGGAAGTCGAAGGAGGCAGAGGTTCCGGGCGTTTGTATTCCACGGGCGGGAGGTTTTCTCGAGGGAGGATGGGTCTGCGGGGAACGAGATCCTCTACAGTTGCCCGGATGGACTTGCGGGGAACGAGATCCTCTACACAGTTGCCCGGATGGACTTGTGTCCGCAGTTAAGCATATGAGCCGTCCGTTTCAGATCCAACCGCAAGCCCACAAAACACCAGAACCAAACTAGTATTGGAAGCCTGCAGCCGGCCCATCTCAGCCCAGCCACGTGAAGGATACCCGGGCGACTCGTACCAGTCCTGGACTCCGCCGTTGCAGCCGAAATCGTCGCAGCCGTAGCCGGCATCGACGGGCGCGGCCATGGCGGACTCCTCCTCGTTGATCTCGTCACGCCGTCGACGCCGCTCACAGGGACCTTGGCGAACGTGGCGGCAGCGCCGACAAGCTTGGAGCCGAAGACGAGCACCTTGATGTCGGCGGCGACATCGGCCTCGTCCTTGGCGGAGAGCACGTCGCCGGAGGCTGGCATGTCGAAGGTCGTGGCGTCCCTGCGCGTGGCCTCGCACGACAGCGCGGCGACGAGGCCAGCGGCGCGGCAGTCCATCAGCGCCGCGAGCGCGACGGCGGCGGGCGCGGAAGCCGCGGCCACCGCGGTCTCGTCATTGGAGCCCTACGTCAGCGCGGCGGCAAGGTCGAGCGAATTCGCGAGGCACGCGGCTGTGACAGCGGTGACATCGCTTCCCACGACACCGCACGCACGCATGATGGTTGTCACGACACCGCATGCACGAAGCAGCTTGCGAGGTCACGGACGAAGAAGACATGCGCATCTCACCGACGAGCAGGGCCTGAGCACCCATGGGTAGGCACACGTCCGGCAGCTGCGTGGGCGGCGGGCAAGACGGAGTCCTCCGAGGCACCTGGACGGTCTAACGCACGAGTTCGCAGGAGAGTAGCAGCTCGAGGTCAGTTACTCAGTTATGCACGAGAAAGACGGCGGCGGAGTTGAAGGACCGATAGTCGTCCATGGCGAGCTCGTGCGTGCGTGCGGTGTCGTGGGAAGCAATGTCACCGCTGCCACAGTCACCTGCCTAGCGAACTCGCTCGACCTGTCATGC